CACTGATTTCAGTGCCCCAGCCCTATAGAGGCTCCTAATGTTCCAGGTACCAAATCTCATGTCCTTTTTCAATTGCCGTGGTCGTGCCAAAGAGTCCGTCCTGATCCGAGGCTTGGTTGATTTTTTTCGTAACACATATTTTTTTTTTTAAAGGTGAAAGGTTGTTAGCCCTACCCCCAACCCCCAACCTGGAGGACCAGGGTATCACTCTTAGTCTAGCGCATCTCCTTAGACCTGTCCGGCTTGGGTGACCCTACCATGAGCCGAAGCTCAGGCCGGCATAGCCCTAAGGGTCATTTGAGCACGCAAGCCTCCTCACCCGGCAGATTGCCTTCGACAAGGTGGTGATACCTTCGAGAAGGATATTCTGTAGTATAAACATTTATATATTTTGTTGTGGCAGTCGGAATACTACAAAATGTTGTCAATGGGATATTTCTTTTAAGTTTGATCAGACAGTGCATATTGGTCAAAGAAGACATTACGAGACCAATGTTGCAAACTCTTTGATCCATGTCACAAAATGTATGCAATTCTGTTATTATGACATTTTATTATTTGCTGTATGATGATTGTACCAGTGAAGTTTCACTTACACAGTTTGATCATGGAAAGAAGTGACCTACCTCAGAGGAAAATCCAAGATCGTTGTGTTCTTTGTTCCTCTGGCAGATTTTTACCAGATACTACCAAGACATTCTTGTAAATGGAAGCTGATGTCAGTGCTGCAGTTTGTAGGTGGTTGTCTTGGAATAAATATATTCTGGTAACATTTATAAATCAATTCTGTTGCCATTCCCCCCCTCTAACAGAAATTCTTGATATGTTTTTGAATTCCTACAGAACATTTCTACTTACCAACTTCACATGATTGCTAATTGAAACTCATTTTCATGTTTGGATGACAATATGATTTTAACTGATATAAGCTCTTTTTAACTCATCCTTTTTCCTGCCTTTAATTTGCCTGTGTGCATTCTGTGAACATCCTGAATAGAGTTTAAAACAAATGCCCAGTGTAGCGTAGGTGCTATTTCTGCTAAGAATTTTAAAAATGAAATGCTGTTTTCTTTGAGGTAAGTACATTTTTAAATATTGTTTACATTGTCTCATACAACATTTAATGAAAAACAGTTCATTGAAAATGTGGGGCTGAGGAAGGACTCTAGAACTTTGGATTGGAAGTTTGTGTAAAACATAACCATAAGTGCTGCCAACAAAACGTTTTCCATTAAAATCTATTGTGCAGTCTTTGCGAAACTAATACTTGCCCTGACGGCCAATTACATGCAATCACCAAGTTCAATGATTACAGTATACAAGAGCTCGCTGTCCATCTAATAGGGGAAGAATAACGGGGAAACTTAGCTGAACTTGTGGTGTCTGTGGGGAATTTCTTTGTAAACCCATACCTTGAAATAATTTTAAAAAAGAAAATTACCTGTAAGTGTGCCACTTTAGTGAATTCATATTTAATGTTGGATTAGTGAGTATCATCTGTGATTATGTGTGGTGGGAAATGAGATTTGGCAGTTAAACTGTTGTTATATTCATTTGTTTACTGAATGAACTGACATGACGTGCAAAGGTTGGAGGTAATATTGTTGTAATCTTACTTATAATTGTCTGCTTATCATTTCAAGTTAAGAAAAACAACAAACACACACATTATTCTTGCTTGGGTGCAGTTGCGTAATGGTGTTGTGTTTTCATGAAAAGCAGTCGTATATCGACTACTGTCTAAATTTTACAAATGTTTTTGCTCTTTCCAGAATTGTTTAAAACATTTGTTGTGAGTTCGTGTCATTTTGATGGCGTTATCAGCGGTCTCATGTCTGTTTTTTCGTTCTCGAAAAGATCTAATTTCAAAATCCATTGCCAACCAGAACTTCCTGGTCGTACATCACTGACTAAAGTTAGGTTAGGACGTTTTATTAGGTCATCCAGTTTTCCTTGCCATATAATGCTGTTATTATGGTAGTCATTGGTGGTACATAACCTCTACTTAATCCAGTAGTAAATATTCTTCATATTCATCAATTTGTTTCCTATAACAGTCATTCATTTTTTAGAAACCTTAGTCAAGAAGGAAAAGTCCTTATAGACCTAGACACTAATCAAACTTGTATGAAATACATATTTGGAAATTGTTTTAGCCCATGAATTTTTTGTTCATGTACTGTGGTTAAATTTGTGCAGAAGCAAGTATGATGTGGAAAGTGAGAGCCGCAGCCCAAAGATGAATGGGAACTTGTGTCCAGAGAGACGTAGGAGGGGTCGGATGAAGAAACAGTGTGGCTATCTGCAGGAGTGGCTTGACAAATCTTGGGAATTCCAGCAGGAGCCCAGCGCAGCATACACACTTGAAGATGAGCCTGGTTTTCAATCTGCATCATTTTGGCCACACAACCCCAGGCCTGTGTTTGATCGAAGACTGTTTCCGACTGCATCAGAACCAACCATGTGTCACTACTCTGTGCCTGTAGGCTACTCACTGGAGCCTGTTTCTTTGCCTGTGTATGCAGCTTATGTACCCATGCCTTCTGAACCTGCATCTTCTTTGAGAAGACGTAGCAGTAGACCAGTGGCTCAAACTAATGGACCACAAGGAAACTATACATCTACCCCACCTATCTCAAAAGGAAATTGGCAGGGTTATAAGGATACAAGACGAGCTTCATCAAGATTGCAGCCTGGTGTAGATTCTGGCACCAATGATGTGTTCACAAGTTTGCCACCTGCAGGAATATCACATGCACCTCACGCCACCCACCGGAGGTTCAGTGACCCGGGTGTGAGAAGGTATGTCACTTTTGAGGTGGTAAGATGGCAACATTTTAAAATCAAACTGTAAAATAATTGTACATACCTTATGTGTTTTTCTTTATGGTATTATGTTTTTTTTCATGACAAATTAACTTTATCATATCTAACTAACTCTCTGGTAGCAGAACCTGTAGATATGATGATCGGATCTCGTCTGATCATCATGTCTAAGGAATGAAATTTATCCTTTGGGTCTTACCAGGATAAGGTCAGGAACAAGGCATTAGGAAGGTGATAATAGGGTTTCTCGCCGTTAATGGTAGAATGTGGACTCTACTTGTTTCAGAACAAAATATGAGGAAAATATTTGGGTTAAAGAGAATTAAATTTATTACATAATGAAATTCATGATCTTTGCAACTTACATCAAGGGCATACTGAGCTAGACATATAACTAGGGTGAGGAAAACAAGAAATATGTACAGAATTTTGAGTAAGAATGTAACTATTTGGAAGACTGATTATAGTGAATAAGGAAATGTGAAGATTGCTAGCTTGTGGGATGTTGTGCAGTGTAGTTTGGTCTATATTGACTGATATTTCAGAGGAGCATACTGTCTCCATTATCATGTTATGTGGTGCACCATACCAGAAAACAGCCAACTTCATACTCACTGTGAGAATCTGAAATTTTACCATAGGAATAATAAGTTATGATGTGAACTTCATTGAAGTGACTCAGTATCATGATGTTATCTGTCTTTTTGAACCTTCAAGCTCTGTTACCAGAGGGATAGTAAATTTCATGTGGTCTATGTAAAACAGCTCTTTGGTGTCAGGTCGCCATCTCCTTTCTGCAGTGGTGACAGTTCTGACACTGGCGACACGTGTAGTCGTGCTAGCACTCCAGTGTCAAATGCTCTGGTGCTGAGTCTTGCGGTGCAAGTCAATGCACTCCAGGACAGCAACAAACAGCTGTACCAGGAATTGCGAGAGACAAAGGCGGAGCTCGAAACACTCAAACAGTCGTTGCGTCAGGTTCCCCCTGAGTACGAGCCTGGAATGCTGTCAGGTATGTTCTGAGACCTTGTGATCTTTATTATGTATTACTCTCTTGCCCGTTTAAAGACTCGACGCTTGAAATTTGCGTGGGTCAAGTACATCAGCACTTGAGCAAACGGAGGGACAGTCCAGAATATTACTGAGAATGTTCACACCTGTTCCAGGATTCTAGGGTTGTTATTATAAGCAAAATTGCTCTTTTGGACTTTGTCTATAGTCTAAATTATAAAATAGCGAAAGTACGTGGACTCTGCTTGTGTCTTCAGACTTTGCCAAGGGTTATTTATTTAACTATATTTTATTTAAAAATGCTGTTTCAGTGCTCACATCGAATGAGAGGATGACAGTGAATAATGAATTGGAAAGGATGTGGAAGGAAATGGGGGGGGGGGGGGGAGAAGGAAAACTGTGAACATCTCTGTCAGGATAGCCAGGCTCTGGGCTGAAATTTGAACCAGGGACCTCCCACATCTGAAGCAGGAGTGCTAACCACCCAGCAATGATGTTCAATTGTTTTACAGGTTGTGAATGCAGCATAAATGCTGTGGAGAAAGAAAATTAATCTAATTTTGTTATTAATAGATTCATGTGTATATGCATTTTTGTCAGAAATGTTTTAATTTTTTTTTTTGCAGATTTAATACGAGAGATACGCGACGCAGCGAGAGTACGTGAGGAAGTTCTGCTATCCAGAGTGTGTAGCATGTTGGAAGCTGCAGGGAACATGAACCCGGCTAATCATTTGGTGAGCGTTGAATTTTTGTTAATCTTGAAACGATCAGTCTATATAAAACAGAAATGGCACTAGAAGAAGACAAAGAATAAGACATGCAGTATTTGAGGTCTGGCAGACTCGGACATCGGCCAGACTACACGGCGCAACAACCCAGAAGACAGAAATCTTCATGCATAAAACCGATGTCCTTACAGACGTCTTGTCGAAAAGCCCCCATGTCCCGGCTTCTTTAACAGTCGCCTGGGGAGTGGATTTCGGTCTTGCTTCGTATTTTGGCAGTTCTGGGTTCAAATCTCGGCTTGGAGACCGGCTGTCCTAATTGATTTTTTGTTGTTGTGGTTTTCTTTGTCGCTCCAGGCAAATGTCAGGATATGACTGATTCCTTCCATATTATTTTTATATCATTATTTATTAATGAGCCTGTAAGTAAGTGCTATTATGCACAGTGTTGTTAAAAGATAAATAAATAATGATCTCTTGGCCTTCGTTAACCTTCGATTTAAAGTATCTGCAGTTTTCAATTTGCATCCATTTTTGCCGGTTTTTACGTATCTGCGGTTTTTCTCGACACAGAAAATGCCAGGGGCTTCTGCCCCGAGTGAATGGTACTCATATTCCGCTTGCTGATATTCGGCGTGTTGCGTCTTTCTGTGACACTTTTCTGTTCTGTCTTCTTTTTATCCTTCTAGAATAATTCATGTTTTATGCAAATTGATGGTTTTGTATTTTATGTATAGAAAATCTATAATTTTATAAGGACATGCAGTTTGGTTGATTTTCAACTGTTATCTTATCAGAATAGGGGATACAAACCCCCGTACTGTGTGGCCTCCAGCTAGACTTTATCTCTGTATGATACTGTGCCACAAGGAAATGTTATGTAGCTCCAAAAGTAATCAAGAGAAGAATTTCCCCAAAGAAAATTTTATTTTGGAGAGGGAATTACAGGAACTAAGATTACAGACCCCGAGAACTGCCCTGGGTTGAAGATTTTGAGTTTAGGGATAGTTTTCCTATGCGTGACCCTCAGGACCCATGATTAGAAGCCCGATCATACGCTCTGATACACGCGCCATCTTTCTGAGGGCTTTGTATAGAATTTAAGTTATAATTGCATTTGTTTAAAATTTTTAACGTTATAATGAGATCTCAGATGTAAACAGTGGAAAGTGAATTGAGTTTGTGGAAGGTGCCAATTATTTACGAGATGATAAACGTTTCAGGGGACATCCTGTTATCTTCAAGAAAATTATCCCTCTGTTTAAAAAAAATGTGTGAAAACTACCGTGATTTACCCTGTCACAGTCAGTTTAATTTGCCCAGAATTTATTTTGCGTTGTTAATAAAATAAATTCAAAAGAGAATCGAATGATACCGAATAATTAATTGGAAATGACTTGGAAATAAGCGGTTGTGGCCTAATTTAAGGCATTATTCTGGAATATAAGTGGAGGGTCGAAGGAAAACCACGAAACACTTCAATCAGGGTAGCCGGTCTTCTGGCCGATATTTGAGCCTGAATGCGAAGCAAGAATGCTAGCCAGCAAACCTCTGACCAGGTCATTTTAATACTCTAAAACCTAGTGGTAATTATGTTCCACCTAAATTTTACATTTTGCCTGCAAAGAGTAATTTTCGGTTTAAAATTATCTTCATAGTAAACAGCGATCATTTCCTTAAACAGCGTTAAGCAGCTGATCTTTTTAATGGTGAAGTGTTGTGTTTACTTCGCGGTACGGACTGAATTCTTACGTAATATTTATACGAGCTTCGGCTTCCACTGATTGGAATAATAAAATTGTCAGCGTTCGAAGAAATCGATTCATCAGATCGATTAACGGAGACAGCTGTAGTTGTGGTTATGTTCGTCACAGATTAGGCAGTTGAGGCAGCGCGATGCATCCCCGTGTCCGGTTACAGAGCGACCCACTCCTTCTGTCAATATTAGTCCATGTAAGTGGATGGATTCATCAGTAATATGGCGGCGATCAGGTTTCGGTGATCCATCTCCTGTCATCCTCGTCGATTGCTCTCCATTAGCCCCATTCCCTCGTTCTTTGTCTTGGTTCGAGAATCCAGCACATCACAGATTGCTGAGAAACGTCATACTTGTGACTAGTTCTCTGTCGTCTTTTGAGTAGATACGGTGTTCTACGAAAGATCAACATATCCATCCATGTCTAAAGGAGAAAGTGAAGAAATGATCTCATATTATCGAAATATCCGTTCTTTATCTTGACGGCCGTTACAAATGCATTGTTGACAACCGAACTGCAGTAAGGCATTTGAAATTCTTTTCCTGTTATTTAAAACATTTTAAGCCGAAGCTCACGTATTTAAGAATTCAGTCCGTACCACAAAGAAAACCCAACACTTCGCCATTAAAAAAGATCAACTGGTTAACGATGTTTAAGGAAATAATCGATGTTTATTCTGATACCGAAAATTACGTTTTGTTAATGTTATAAATATATGACAGTAACTACTGCTGTGAGCAACTGTTAAGGTCATTGAAGAATGTCACACTAATTAATACTTCGAATCCTCCTACCATACTCTGAAGTGTATTTTACTGTTTTATCTTTCTTTACTTTCTTCTCTTACTGTCTTCTTTCTCATCTGACCTCTTACAGAATTGCCTTCGTCTTACTCCATGCTTTGATCTTTTCAGATACCCACATCGGTGAAGTCTTTTTTTTTGCCTCTGTCTGTCCAGTCTCAACTTTTTATGGTAGTTTAAATAATGTTCAAAATGTATTGTAGTATCGTATGTTTTGGGACAGGAAGTCTGTCTGACTCCTGGTACCAACCTCACAAACACCTGGCGCACCCATGTTCTTCGCGGACGAGGCTTCAGCGCCGAAGTAGCTGTAAAATCTTTGCACGTGATATGAAGGAGATGCTGTTGGAATAAATTTGCGTTACATTCCTGTAGTTTTGTGTTTTTTAATTGCGCCGGTGCAGTCTATTTTAACCTGTTACATTTACCATTTCCTTTAATGTTCAATAACTCTGCACTTTTCCACAGACATTGTATTTATGTGTTTCGTACGATTAACAGAATTATTATTTCCATAAGCAGTTGATCTTTGTATGTCGTGATTTATTTGGGGTATGGCCTGGAGTCTTAAATGTTATTTAGATACGCTACGTGCTTCGAAGGGTTAAATAAGTTTCTTTGTGTGTTTGCAGTTTGGTCTGAAAGACAATCTTGTAGAGAAGTTCCCTGTTGCTTCCTCAAAGGTGGATGGGATCAACGAGCAATTTCAGCGCCTTCAAATACAAAGGTAAAGGGCCAAAGCCCACGGACCATTTACGTTTTATGTGTTTTCCCTTCTACACTGAGGACGAACATTCTTCAAGTACACGTACGTCGTGACCAGCTGTGCGTACTCTTTCAGACAAAGCATCTGACTTGAGAATATTTGGTAAAGTAAAATTTGATCTTGGTTCTTTTTTGACAGCAGGGAGTCGACAGACTTCTTATTTGTTAACCCTCTTCCGTTGTGCATTGAAATTTATATTCCGCCACTGATTTTAGGAAGAAATTCTTTTACATTTGCTAAGCTACCGTAATACTTAATGATACTCGGTAAAGAAAAATGTTCTCACGTATGTTAAATTCAGATTTCATTATGACGACTGTACTTGCCCTTCGTAATATTGTCCTCTCCTTATTAGTTAGTGTCTGCTAACAAAGCAAACAGCTTCACGGCTTCTGACAGGAGTTTATTTCCATTCATCGTATGACGGGGGAGAAAGTCGATATGTCAACGACTTTAGTTACGTTAGTCAGTTTTTCGAGTTCTCCTCAGTTATCTCATAATTTTACAACCTTGCGGGCACGGAGTGTGTGATACTGGCTCTGATGTTGTTAGTTTTACAATTTGTTAAATAAAGTTCTGTTCTTCAGGAAAAATCTCTCAGCTTTAAGCTTACTTATCGACTATAATGTCGAACTTACTTTTTGTTGATCTTGGTGTTCTAGGCAGTATTTCTGTGTGGACTTGTAGGGGACGTCAGTGTTTTGGAGGAACGTACTGTCTGTTTTTACAGGATTTAAGATAGAGATGTCATGTTGTGACGTCAGTACAACCGAGAAGACCAACTTTGACATTTTCACTACCGTGAGAACTATTTCTTATACAGAACTTACTTGTTGCAGGGAGAAGAGAAAGCCAGATATTGATCAGATAGATGGAACCACAGGTCAGTATTTTTGTTCCGTGTACGTATTTGGCGCGGGACTCGCTATAGTTCAGTCTGTACTGGACGGCCACTGTTGCAGCTTCTTGTATGACTGTTACGAGTTTTCTGTTCCCACACACGTTCAGTAACTTTATTGCCCTGTTATTGTTTAAAAGATGAACATATTCATATTTCTGTACCACCCTGTGGCTAGTTTACTTACCTTTTTATGGTTTCCTGATAAGAAATGCTTTGTTATTTTCCAATTTTATATTTTTGGAGTTATAAACTTCAGAATTCATAATTTTTCCTCCTGTCATATTCCCTACTCGTGTGTCACAGATACAAAAGCCGAGCAGTTTTGTGCCTTGGAGCTGGAGAACCTGCGGCTGAGGCGTAGCCTACAGGAGGCACTGGCAAGGAACAAGGACAAGGAGTCCCAAGCTCAGCAGTAAGTGTTTCATAAACTTTCATGGCACACGAATGCTCTCGGGCGATCGGTCTGATAATGTGGACAGAGTCTCTGAAAAATTGGCTTTCAACTCAACGTTGGCACAGCTGATCACCCAAGAGAATTTTGTGATGCGTGTTTCTTAGCCTGATCTTAATTATGGTTCCTGTGCTTTTGTGGTTTTACCATACATGGTAACAGAAATTTATGGTTGTTGGTTTAATTACAGATGTTTCGTTAGTTTTCTTCGTTGTTCGCGTGAAGTACGTGAATTGTTAATTGTCACATCTCTCAGAACCATGAGCATGCCCGTATTACTGAGGAAACTTTTGGTAACTCGGGTTTTATGTCAGCACTAGTGGTCCACCGAGCCTTGTAGCCAGTGGATACTGGGAGGTCTTTCCCCGGGGGTAAAGCAGCTACGTCATATGAGGCATTTTAACTTTTTTTTTTAACAATTTGAGGATCATGTTATAAGTTGTCTTTACACGTTGGATCTTCTTCATGTGGCCCGCAGGTTGGAGCACTTGGTGGATGTATTGAGACGGAAGATCAGCGGTGCCTCAGTAGATGAGAAGCCTGCAAGCTCAGAGCAGAGCCCCAGCGAATCCCTGGTGAGTACCGTCAGCTCGTCATCTACTGCTCACTCTCCACAAGTTACCATGTCTGGTCCAGTGACTGATCTTTGATGTAGTTTTAATTTATAGACATTTCAGCTCTCTGTAGTAATTGGATCGCGTGCAGATGTGTGTTAAGTAACGTACATTGCACTTTGTCATGGAGTAGAATAGCAATTTATTGCAGTCGCCAAGACAACCGGAACAATTGAGCGTCTCTTAGCGATCTTGTCAATATTGCACCTTCTGTTGACTGCTTTTGTTCTGTGACAAAGTGAAATTGGCGCGTTTTACCCTCCAACTGCTACTATTACAGGCTGTTTCAAAAGCATGGAGCAACACAGATATAGGAAACAATATACATTAAAACTAAATATGCACGACAGTGCCATCTTTCCTCATATATGTGAGTTACATGTAACGAGAGACCAGCCTCTATATTTTGAACAGATCGTATCTTGTCGGGCTTCATTGATGGAGTCTGTTTACTGGCAATGAAGGGGGTTAACTGGGGGTTGTTAATGATCTGAATGATTAGGGGAGTACACGTGTTTCTCCGTCAGTCGGCGCTTCAGTATTTTGGGAGAAATGTTGCGGCATGATTGAATTCCTGAAATAGCGAGCTCAAGCTTATTTACGTATTTCCGTCCAGTGAGAAAACTAACAAAATAATTTATAATATGTTCTGCCAGTTGACAAAACTCTTTAAAGTAAATGAAAAGTGAATAATAATGGAGATTCTCAGGACTAAAATGTGTAGGCCTATTGATTTTTGAGATTTCACTTCGTCATAAACTGGCGGTGCTTAATCCTTGGAATTCCGCGCTCCCCAGTCATATCATGCTGGAATTTGAATGGATACAGAATCAGGAACGTGGCGACACTGACACTAACTTGTTTACACGTCAGTTATCCGTTGTTAGGCTGTTCAGATTTTTGTCTTGACGATCGTGGAGTCTACTCCGTATTTCTGAACATGGGTTCAAGGGGTTCTTTTCCTAGGGGTGAAGTTGGCCAGAGCACGCAACTGGTAATTTTGTGCTGAACTTTCGGATGTGACATCTTACTTCCAGTCGCATTAAACACATTCCAGACGAGTCTTCTGAAACATGGAGATAGGCAACTTGTAGAATATCTTCTGGGGGCTGCGGCCTTTCTCTTGTCTCGGTCTGTTCTAACGTGAATGTAGTTTGGGCCGGTAATTAAATGATGCTGGGTCGCGACTCACGGCTGTGAATTCATCTTAATCACTTGAAGGCAGTTGGTACAAATTCCCGTGTGACGAGTCAATATAATGATATGTTATTTTGAAACACCGTAGTGGCCTTGCAAAGACTCGTTGGTTTTGTAGAAAAAAAGTCATGGCTTATCTCATCTAAGAGAATTCAATAAGTGAAATTATACCTTGCCTTGGATTAAGGAACTATGGGAACTGTCCCAAAATATCGGGTTCTTTAGTCGAGGAGAACGACACTTTTGCGTCTTAAAACGTTTGAAATATACATGTAAATTTTCCCTATCGTAGAGAACCCGTCTAGTTGTTTCAGTAGCCTGTTTCCTGGACTGCAGGTCCCAACTTATCTCGCGTAAAATATTTATTAAGTGCATTTATGATCTGCCGTAGCTTAAAGAACACAAATATCTGCAATAACCTCTTCGTGCATTCCACAAAGAACTAGACAAAGCATTTAGTCTTCTATTGTTTTGGTAACTTAGTAATTACGCATTACGCATTACTCTGAAATATTGGTAACAACCTATAGGACTACGTGGCGTCAGAACCGCGAAGACCACAGTGCACATTTTCATCACCGTGAGAACTTCAAATCCTATCGTATCAAACTTTAGTATTTTCTGCCGCCGCCAGACGTGGGCGTCTAGCAGTTCAGAAGGGCGCAGAAGTCGGTGTAATTAGTGGTTATACTTATATAATTTTTTTATCTGTGATCTAATTAACCTGGATACCGTTCACAGGTGTAAGTGGTGTAGAACAAATAATGGAGAAGTGGGAAGCAAAATTATATTTTAATGATTCACTTCAATTTGTACGCTTATGGCGAAAATCGTTGAATCGCTTTCCGTAAGTGTCGAAATTTTTGCAGATCGCTGCGTGGTTTGCATTCCGAAACGCGAATGCCAAATGCTGGGGTAACCGCGTCATCCCACATTTCGGCGGCTAGAACAGTCCGTAAACGTTACTTTTTTTACGCACGCTTTCCTCTGCTGAACTTTGTTTCGGATTTTTGCAAGTTACGATGCCTTGCGAACAATTTACGCTTGTATTTTAAATACCTCACTGCAAAATATTTTAGTGGCCGTGGGCTACGCCGTAAGACTAGCACATGTGCTTTTGTTGAATGTGTGTTGAAAATAGATAGTTTGAATCTTCAGATCGGTTGCGTCACCCGTGGCGGTTCTGTGGCAATAGAAGAACGCCTTCTAGAAGGCGAAAGCTAAAGAAATAATTTAGTGTGATTTCTACCAAACCATTCTGATATGATCAGATGTGAACACGGTCATTTATAAGGTCTGTGAATGCATTATTCTGTTTGTCGCTGACATGACACAGTCTTGTGGATGCCCTCAAAAGGCAGCGAGCAGGGGTATTTCTTGCGTAGCTGAGAACATATTAGTTTTTCTGAAGGGGCTTTTCCTTGGAATTTGGGCAGTTAAGTGGTTAGTATTCTCTGTTTATGACAAGTTTATAAAAACGGAACACCAAGTTCTTCAATTGGTGACATCCGTCTGAGGAAGGAAAATATATTTTCATTACCGAGTTAACGTCTTTTGCACTGGATGAGTTCACTTACTTGATTGGCGGTCATTGCATTAACTTTCTCAGATAAGAATCTAAATTTGTGAATAACAGTTGAAGCTCACTTGTTTTAGACGAGTAGTAGAGCCACGTTTGAGGACGAAGCGTGAGATCCTTTCACGTGCCCTCGCTTGACGGTTCAGTGGGAAATGTGGATACATTAAAAATATTTTGATTTATAGTTTTATTCAGAGAAACTCTGAAATGCTCTTTCCAAAGTTTGGTACGTTTAATTAACGGTCAGTAAATAAACTAAGCTCAGAATTGGCGTGTGAGTATCATTTTGTTTTCATGGACAATAACAGCGCGAGTATTTTTATGAAGCAACTGCTTCTACTTCTTGGCACTACAGTCCTTTTGTATTATGAAGGAACAGAATTCCTTTATATACGAGGTTGTTCAGATGAAACCTATTTCTGATCGTGTGCGTGACTCCGGCCGTGCGACAGAATGGGCATGTCAGAGTAGATGGGAACGGTGTGACACACTTTTAAGTGCCAGCGTTCCAGGCGTAGAATCCATCCAGACTGGACCGACAAGCCGTCATTGAGTTCCGGAGCCGAGGGCCGTCGGCCGCGTGGAATTACAGAAAAATGGAAACTGCATATTGAAATGCGCCACGTGCGAAAGAGCACAGGTTCATAGATTCAGGTTGGCTGAAGATGTCAAGGCCATGTTGACGCGTCGGTGGGACGCCTGCCTCGGTTCTCGTGGGGACTCTTGTCACTTCACCCCGAAGAATCCCCAGATGGGTTTCATTTGAACAAGCCGTATTTCTCCCCGTCTCTTGTCCAAACTTGTGAGATGAGTAATCTAGGTCGATGGCAAATGAGTAGTTCACTGACCTCATAAATGACTTGGTCCAGGTATAGGGTTACCCTCAATGTCGTTCTTCTGTCGCCTTTCGTATTCACTTAGGTAAGGTCCGTGAATTCATAAAATTCTGTATTTGATATTCTGTAAACTTTCCATAAAATTTTTTTTGACGTCTGATCTTCGTCTGTTCATAAAATATATTTCGTTCTGATGAGTATTAAAAAACGTGTTTTTTTTACGAATTCATGCTTTTATGTGTAATGACGTCATTCCAGAATTCAGATTTTGTCTAGAGTTGCAAGCGAATTCTTCGTAATAAATTTCATAAAACCCGTTTATGGAAAGTTCACCTGATTCAGTGGTATTTGTGTTTGGACACATGCGACTTAGTCATAAGTTGTTTTACGCTCTCTTGTGAGTTAGGGGTGGCCGATAATTAACCGTTCTGTGTGATTTTGTGTCGTGCGAGATCTGAGGCTCTCGCGGCTAGATACCTGCAACCCGGAAGACAGATATCGACAATTTCATGTCATGACAGTGGTCATTTGGGTTCTTATGCCTTACAGTCTTTTGGTTGTATAACAACATTTTGGAGGAACATGTTGCCTCCATCTTCAGGGATGAAATGAGTAGGATTAGAAAATTGTTAGGTAAATTAAAATTTGATTAGGTTGAGAACCTGTAAGTCAGAGCCAGAGGTGGGAAGACTGAGCTAAGTCTAGTCCAGTGTGAGTGGGGAAGTGCCCTTTTTAATCCCCCCCCCCCCCCCCCAGGAAAGGAAGGTCGGAACAAGAGGATGTTTGTGTTCCTGGACCAACCCTATACAACTCATTGAGTTTCTAGCCCTGAGGATGGAGGCAGCGTGTTGCTCCGAAACACTGGTGTGCTGTCAAAAGACTATGGCGCAGCGATCCACAAGACCGCAGTCTTAACCCTCATTGCCGTTGCTGCTGTTACGGAGGAACTCAAACACGACAGAATTCTGTGTCTTGCAGTTTGAGTTTAAATAATGACGAGTGGATAATGTAATTAGTTAAGTGTTCATTATTTGATTAATATTTCGTCGGTTGCTGTCATTTGTGTCTCTGGAACAGGGCTGTCCAGTTGGTAGCGTGACAAACTTCTGAGCACAGAACAGATAAAAAAAAGATGGTATGTTTGTGATTTGTTAATTTTTTGTATTTTTTTTTCTACAGGGTGATCATTTTAAAATGGAATCAATATTCGTCACGCTAATACTGGATTTCATGGGGCCACCACATAGTGGACCGTGGTCGGGTG